ACAGTGTTGCTGCATAACATGTGTAGATCGCTGCCAGCTAACGGTCATCACATAAACAACAGAGGAGCAGAAATTAATTTTCATTTAAACAAAAAATAAAAAATAAAAAAAACAAGAGTGAGAAAAGGGTTTGTACAATATAACACCCAAGAGAACGGCTCGGTCTGCCTGTGTTGTGGCTCATGCACCCATTTTGCTAAGGGTAAATTTCCCTCCTCAAATCACAAGTTTTCTTATATTTTTAGTTTGGAAACGCTAACATCTATACGGAAGAAGACTAATTAAAAAATTCTTCACAGTTATTGATATAAAAGTCCTTCCATCAGCAGCATGTATAGACAGTGTCACGTAACTTCGAACAAGGCCCCGCATAGCTTGTGGTGGGAGGAGTTTCTTAACACTCGTTCTTCCACTGGCCGCCTGTCACTTCTCACACGCTCCACCCCCTTGTCTGAAAATTGTCTTCTGCGCATTCAAGGTCACTCTTGGCCTTCTTCGAAGTTACGTGACACTTGCTATAACTCTGCCACACAGTATCTCGACGTTACGTTGTTCCCAAAGCAAGTTTCAGTTCTTCCTATGAATTTCACTTATGTACTGTAAATCACTTTTTGTTGACAAGTAGGTTCAAGTGCTCCTGCAGTCACCTTATTATCCCACAAGACACCGTATCAATCGATCAATCATGAATAGAATTGGAGCAGGAAGTATCATATGGCTATCAAACAGATCAGAATACATTCCCAAAAGTGAGTACACATGTGTGTAAACTGAACTGGGTACAGGACGAGGAGGCCATCTTGAATTTTAAACACGTTTATGGGGTTATATTTCAGTAACAAGCAATTCACATTAGGCTGGGCTTACTTACGGAATTCACCTTCTTTGCTTTTATGCATAATGCTTACTCTGGCGTTACTGAAGAGAACAGTGATCCTTGAACTTACATGCAGTCCATTACAGGCCTGGATATATTTTTTTTTATAAGCCTCTACTTTTCGTGGGGCTTTAGTCCTCAGTATCAGACAAACAACTCCGAGTACCATACATTTATTTAATGGTACTCCTGTTCACAGCAACATTGTAATGAAGTTTAACACTTTAGTTTTCCTGGTCATGACACCGTGTAGCTTAGTAGGTGGCTAATAAGTTTCGGGAGAATATATATATATGTAGTACGTTCCTCTGAGATGTTGGTACCCACCTATCACACTACACGGCATGCTAACCCATAAGACACTAGTATGCGGTAATAATCCTGTCTATTGGGTTTACAAATGCAAGGTGTGCTGTGGTCCCAACATGGCATGAAATCATATATAAGTAAGCTACAAAACAGACTCTTTCAGTTTTTGTAAATTAATGTACTTTAACAGAACAAAAGAGTTCAATAAATGATCAATAAAGTGGTGTGTCATTTATTTACTGCCATCTGTAACAGGTCGTTATAATTAAGCCTAATTATAATAAATGCCTTAAACGAAATTAATTAAAATTGTAATTTCCTGCTTTCTTCTTACTTTGACAAAAAAATGTAAATATGCTTATGTTATCTGTATGCTGTGTGTCTGTGAATCTCCACTATTAACTTTCGAACGTCTAAACCAGTCTGTATAGAACCTGGTATGTATATCATGGCAACTGAGCCCATCCCAACGGCGTAGTTCATAAATCCCTCCTATCAAGCTGTGTATGTCTCCTATCGTTGCTAGGCAAAGGCTCGGCAGAGTATATCCCTCCTTTCAGGCTAGGCAGCTGCTCCATAAACACGTTCCCACGGCAACGACTACATGCAACAATAAAATAACTGTTGGACTCGTGTGTCTGCGGGACCGTCTGTATCACCTATCGTTGCTAGGTAACAACTCGGTAAAGACGTTCCCACGGTAACAAAGAATCGTTAGAGGCGTCGTTTTCTCTGCGGTCTGTGGCGTACCAAAGACACCACTGGATTTTATCATTCGACCTAATCCTTCCAGCCGCACAATGCCCTAGGGTCAACTCAGCCTCTAACAGAAATGAGTACCAGGAATCTTCCTGAGGTGTAAAGGGCGGCCGGGGAGTAAGGCTGACAACCTTACCGCCATCTGTGAGTCAATCGTCTAGGAATTGTAGATGTCTCAACGTCTCACACCTCTATGGACCTTCACGGCCTGTTACAGGGATAGCTTTGAGTACCAGGATACTGTTCTGCATTAGGTGACGAAATACATGCCTTTATCTGCATTCACGTATACACCAACCTCCTTACTAATATTCAATAGAGATCCTGCGATTTTCTTTGTGTATTTATTTCCCCCAACAAATTAACATCAGGATAGACCACAAGCTTCTGCGTCTCAATCAATTCCAGCCTCTCCCAGTTTCGTGCATGTCCTGCACGTACTTCAGTGGTGTATTCCAAAGCGACGCTGAAAGCAATGGTGATGAAGTCCTCGTTTCAGGCCGTTCCAGATAGGAAATGCCTGGGACAAATATGTCACTATACGGGCTTTGCTATAGGCTTCATTTAAATACATGCTAATTAGCCTAACTAGTCTCATGGGCACGCTAAACTCAATGAGAATGTACATCGCAGTCGTACCTCACCCTGCGGCTTCCGGATGCACGAATTTCAAGACGTACGAAACCACTGACACCCATTTCGGACTCGGAACTCGAATTTCGGGCCCTCGATAATTTCTACAGAAGAGCCAAGGCCCCAGCGACCATTCTTCCGGCGTCCTCACCCAAGCCGTGTCCCTTCCAAACTCTACCATAACCAAAGCTCCTACGATTTCACGAGGGGCTGGCGATGTCGGACTTCGATTTTAAAAAAACCTCCGTAGCTTTAGTCCGCAAGCGAACTATACCGACCGAGAGACCGTCGCTTGTCGGCGAAGTTAGTGCAACTTTAGCGGATAGGAGGTGTTGCGTAGTCAGCGCAACGAATCCCCACAGACGTTAATTTCGGTTTTCTAGACCGGAGCCGCTACTGTTCAATTCAAGTAACTCCTCAATTTGGACACAGTTCCAGACCCACTACTTCCCAGAAAATCTGGGAGCGCCGGGAATCGAACCTGGGACCTCTGGATCTGTAGCCAGGAACTCTGACCAATAGACTACAGAGGCGGTCGACTTCGATAAAATGTCAATTTAATTATTTATAAAGTTTGTACACGCTATGATATCCCGACACACAGAGAGGAAGGAGGTCGCATAAGCCTATTAATGAAGTATGCTAGAAAACGGGTCTGAGCTTTGAGCTCCGGGAATGTAACCTTACAAGTATATGTCCCATGTACTAATGGACTCGCTTTGCAATTTTTCGATTTCCAAAATGCTTTCGGGAACATATTAAGTCGTACTGTGCCTATTTTTCAACTGAAACACGGCTTTTCTTGGAGTCCTCACATAACGAGCCTGTGGGGAAACAGAAGGAATACAAAAAAAAGATACGCTCGAGGTCTATACCCTCAGGTTTCCCTTAGTATGTATGCCAAGTTTCAGCTTTCTGGGTTCCTTGGTTTTGGGATCAGAGCATTAAAACACAAACATACACACATTCACTGTTACTTTGATGATGATGATAACCATCAACCGAAAAATAAATGTAGGTTTCTTGAAGCTGCAATTTTTACAAGCCATAGACACATACGAAAATTATAAAAATTCGTTTGTGTTTGGAAGATGTGTTATCGTACACCAAAAAGTCCAAGTCACCTTACGAAAAACTGTCAGTCACGTTACAACTGACGGTCCGCGAGTCACTTCTTCCTGGTGTCCAGCCTCACCGGATTTTAGTCCTTGTCTGGCCATTTATTCTTCTGTCTTTGTGAGGTGTCCTATCTGACGAGACGATGGATCTGTCACTTGTCAAAAGTCACGGTCCACAATACTTCAAATTTTGCGTGTATACATTATATATGGTCAGTCACTTGTCACCAGTTTGTCATTGTCACATTTGTAATTTTATATGCAAGTAACTAGCTCCATGGAGCTGAACCCTTCTTCAAAAGCAAAACTCAAGAATTTCCCAACATTTTATGGAACCCGAAGATTCATTAACGTGCTCATAAGAGCCCTCCATTGGTCCATATCTTGACTCTGATCAATCCTGTCCTATTTAAGATCCATTTTAATATTATCCTCCCACCTATGTCTTGGTCTTCCCGGTGGCCTCTCTCTTTCTGCCTTTTCCACCAAAATCGTATATACAGTCCTCTTCTCCCCCATGCGTACTACATGCCCTCACCATCTCATCCTCCTTGATTTCATCACCATAATTTTATCTAGCGAACAGCTCAAGTTATGAACCTCCCCATTATGCAATTTTCTCCGACCTCCTACCGTTTCATCCTTCTTCGGTCAAAAATATTCTCCTCAGTGTTCCGTTCCCAAATACCCTCGGTCTGCGTTCCTCCCCTAATGTCAGAGACCAAGTTTCACACTCATACAAAACTACAAGGGGGGAACCCGGTAGCGTAGTTGCTTCAGGCACCATGCTACAAGCCAGAAGGTCGCGGATTTGATTCCCGATGTGGCCATTAGATTTCTCTCAGGCGCAGTGTCTCATTGTTCAAATACAATAAAATATGTGAACAGGGCTGCGCTATAGCTCAAGCGGTCAGTCGCTGGCTTCCCATTGCGACGGCCCGGGTTCGCGCCCGGTTCTGGTCATGTCGGATTTATGGTGGAAAAAGTGGTGCTGTGGCAGGTTTTCTCCGAGTACGTCAGTTTCCCCTGCAATCTTCATTCCACCAATTGCTCCACAATCATCATCTATCTTCTGGAGCTGCTACAATAGGCCAGAAGTGGTCGCAGTACCTAGTGGACTCACTCTCGCCCTACTAAGAATAATAAATAAATAAATATGTATAAATATTTACTGGTAAACACTTATATATATTTATTACGCTCTCGCAGAGGGCGCTAAGGTGTTGTAACAACGCAACCGCATGATCTCAATATCTCCCAGCCAGCGTCACTGACGGAAGGAAACCAGCTTTGAGGTATTTCCTTCTGAGACTGCAGACGAGTAACACCAACACAGTGCCGCTAACAGTTCAGCAAATACGTGCGTTGCGTTATCATGGCTTCCCTGCCAACTACCCCTCTGGAGAAGGCAACACAACAAAAACACAAGTTACCACCACTCCACTTGAAATCCTTCAGGTAACTATAGTTCACGTCACCTAGTGCTGTATCTTACCAACAACTACCGAGCTGTTGCCTAGCGTGAAAAGAGGAATATACTTTGTCGAGCCTTTGTATAGCGACAATAGGAGGGATACACACCAGACACAAGGACTTATGGGAGGGGTTTATGAAGTGCGCCGATGAGATTGGTTAAGATGACATGATATACATACTAAGTTCCAACGGGCTACAATGCCGTCAGAATTTCAAATTCTACAATTAAATAATTAATTAGTTCTTCTTCTTACTCGAATGTTGGCGCATTAGACCAGACCCATGTATAATGTTCTTGCAGCACGGACCCTGGTGGGCCTTCTCCATGTCCGACGCCGCGGAGCAATCTCTCATGGAAGGAGAGGCATCAGAGTGTTCTGCAGTTGGTCAACCAGCAGGACAATTCGCCAGCGTATAATTACGTTCCGCCTAAGTCCTACATCTTCAAGCTCACGCAACTGGTACGCACACATGTCTCAGTCAACAGAGGAAACCATAGTCGCACAGCTGATCACTTCCCAACCTCCTACGGGGCACGGCGGCTCATTCCCGTATTCTTAACAACTAGCCAGTGAAACCTATTTCGAGCAAGATGTCTCTGGTATACACACTTACATCTAACGCCTTCCAGAAACATTTCAGTAATATCCTCTGGCAGGTCACGGTAGCGGAGCGGTCTAAGGCATATACTGTCTTCGCTCGCTTGGAAACCGGGATCGTGGGTTCGAATCCCACTCAGGGCATGGATGTTTAGTTTGTGTGTGTGCGTTTTTCTGTGTTTGTGTACAGGTAGAGGCCTTGCGACGAGCTGATCACCCGCCCAAGGAGTCCTAGCGAATGTCTAAGATATAGTAAACCGAAGTGAAACGGAGAGTTTCATGGAGGTAGGTCTAGGACCACTGGGGCTGTAGTGCCAAGGGGGGGGGGGATGTGTTTATTCTGAGTTTATGTTGGCCTGGGTTTAGGCAGAGGCCTTGCGACGAGCTGATCAGCCGTCCAAGGAGCCCTACCGCCTGTAAAAATGATCAATGTGATTGAAAAACCAGTCCTATACTCCAAAGTTGGGGCGAAGAGGAAAAAGAACTCCCATGTAGTCTTTCTTTTTTCTTTGGATTTTGTGATTCACATTTATGAATGGTAGATGTCGCACATAACTAATTCCCTTCGATTAGATCGTTCTAATAACTCGATTATCTACAAATAAATTTAGGCCAATATTACTGACAAATACATGTAACAATTACGAGTACATCAGATTATATCGTGAATAAAACCACGAAGATCTCAAATGAACAGTACGGGGTTGTAGTCAACCGTAATTTTAGGGATACAGTCAAGGGTCAAAAGCTACCTCCAAATACTTGTGAAATATAAATGAAGTACTCTTTACAAAAATTAAAATTAGAGCTGGGGTTGCGCAGTCGGTATACTGGCTACGAGCTGCACGACTAAGTGGTCGGAGTTCCAGTTCTGGTGGGGTCAAGAATATTCACTTCTCCATGTAACCCAGACCAGTTCTGGGGTCCATCCAGCCTCATAACCACTGGGTACCGGGGGCTCTTTCCCCGTGGGTAAAGCGGCCGGTGTGTGAAGCTGACCACTCACCTCCAACTAATGCCGAGGTCAAGAAAATGTGGATCTATGCATCAAATCCCCCATACGCCTTCATGGCGTAGTGCTTAATTAGTTAAACATTGGGACTTCACTTTACCTTTACAGAAATTCATCAATAGATGCTGAAGGACTCTAAATACATAAGCTCAAGTTCATTTAGGACAATAAAATGAAGCAAAGTATAACAAAGCAAAGTAAAGTAAGGAAGTAAATTTGCCCGTAAAGATGACCACATTAAACTAAAGTAATAAACAGTATACCAGACCGAATTTCATCCAAAACGTTTCAATATCTAAGAACATCCTACTTACGGACCGACAGACAAACGGACATTACGAAAATTACCTTTTTCTCTTCGAAACGCGCAGAATAAAAACGTAAAACATTATGGATCAGAACAATCTGAATATCGCCGTCTTGTTGGATGTGACGCCGTACAGTTCGGTAACTATGTATCAAAGTACATAGTGTCGCATAGTATAACACAGGACACTTCACGTTCACTGGCAGCCGGAGAACCTCACTCATATAATAATTTGGCTTCAAGTGAGAGTGCCGCTTTAAAAAGTAAAAAGTAAAGTAAGTAAAGCTATCCCTGTAACAGGCCGTGAAGGCCCATAGGGTGAGATGTTGAGGTTCCCAGTTTCTAGACAATCGGCTATAGATGGCGGTGAGGTTGTCAGCTTTATGCGCCGGCCGCCCTTTACCCCCAAGAATATTCCTGGTACTCATTTCTATTAGAGGCTGAGTAGACCCCAGGGCCATAGTGCGGCTGGAAGGAATAGGTAAATTGAAAAGTCCACCTCATCGGGATTCGATCCCGCGACCTTCCGGCTTGTAGCATAGTGCCTCAACCAACTACGCTACCGCATACCCCGAGAGGCTTCTCAGAAAATCTGGTACCTCTGGATCTGTAACCAAGAACTCTGACCAATAGACCACAGAGGCGGTCTCTTTTGGCACTAAGGGTCATAAAAGTTTCCGAGATGATGCATAAGTTTTATGGGATACTGTCGCTGTTTTACATTATAAACGTTGCTCAAAATGGCGGCCGCCGAATTCATTGCATGTTCTGCACCGCCTGGCAATGTTATCCCGAACTCTATGAAAGTTTCCCGGCATTTCCCGGGTGGTTCCAGCTGCTACTGCAATTCTTGCCACAAGATCAGGTTGTGTCTCCAGTGAAGTCCCGTACACCAGGCTTTGCATGTACCCCCAGAGAAAGAAATTCAGTAGAGACAAGTAAAAGGAGCGAGGGGGTTAGGTTTTTGGGCTTCCACGTCCACTCCATCTGTTGCCAAAGTTTCATCCAAATATTTACGGAGGACATCAGTGCAGCGTACCGGGGTGCAATCATGCTGAAACCACATTTCACGACAGACTTCCAAAGGCACAACTTCCAGCAGCTCAGGTAAGCTCTCTTGGAGAAATGTTAGGTAACTGTTACCAGTAAGCCACAGAGGTAAGAGGTAAGGGAGTCCTCCTTCACATTTCAGAGGCCCTAGCGCGTAAACAAAGCGTTTCCGGAGTGTATTAACAAAATATGATCATACTGAACCCATCTATCTGCCACAGAGCGTTGTAACATGTTTGTATACACCCTGTATATCGATATATATATATTATCATTCGACTCTTTGTGGCAGATCGTCACCATAGTATGTACGGGGTCATATTCCAAAGGAGTAAATGGAGTAACATCTTCCACTACAGCGCAAATGTTACCCTACTTCGTCTGCTCTGCCTTCATGGTCATTACGCCTGTCATCCTTATCAGCTACGTACTGGGTCACAGAATGCCCGAAATTCTGGTAAGTACGCGACGATGTGCTCAAATGGTTCCCTCCAGGAACGTGGGTGCTAGAAAATTTTCATTCTGCTTTAAAACGTCCGCTGAAGCCCTTTTCTTTTATTGCTAGTGGGGTGGGACTAAGTCCCTTGTACTGCGGCCACTTCTGGCCTATTGTATCAGCCCCAGATGATAAGTAAGAGTGATTGTGGAGCAATTGGTAGAATGAAGATTGGTAGGGGAAACCGAAGTACTCGGAGAAAACCTACCCCAGCGCCACTTTGTCCACCACAAATCCCACTTGACCAGACCCGGCATTTTCGTCACGATGTCTGTAAATTTTATGTTATTGTTACGAAGTTTTGAAAAAGTTGATTGGTTTTTAACTGGGGAGGGGGCAGAAGCAGAATTTCTCGTCTGCTAGGGTAGCATTTAGCTTCTCGCCGGCCCTGAGTGTAGACAGATGAATACAAAATTTATTCTAAATCCATTAAAACTTCTGGAAATAAAACAATACGCACACACCGACGTTTATTGCGAGTTCAACGTATTCTTTTCTGCAGAGAACTCACAGAGGATTACAAACAACCCCAATTTACGCATCGTTACCAAATAAAGTCGACATTTCTAATTACAGTAGAACGCAGATTATCCGATTTTCCAATTAACCGAATCACCGCAAATAATGAACCGACTCCGTATCATAGTGAAGCCTTCAACTGTGTTGAAATAGCAATGAAGTGGTACGAAACGCAACGTGCTATACAGCATTCTTACACTGAAGCGCTTTACAGACTCTTCTACTAAACGAACATCACTGGTCGACCCTTCCAAGAAGTGTTTGAAAATGTTTCATGTTTCACCTGTTTCAAAAGTTTTTTCTTGGGGGGGGGGGGTAATATTATAACAGTATAGTACATTGTCATTTACAGTGGCCGCGGGGTCTAAGGCATGAACCGTCTTCGCCCGCTTCAACACTTGGATCGTGGGTTCGAATCCAACCCGAGGCATGGATGTCTGTGTGCTTTTATTCTGCTTTGTTGTTCTGTGTGTAGGTAGCGGCTTTGCGACGAGCTGATCCCCATCCAAGGAGTCCTACCGTCTGTGTATACATTAAGAAACTGAAAAAGCGGCCACAGTCCACAAGATCTGTAGAGCCATAGACATACAGACAGTACATTATAAAAGTGTTTCTTGTGGATAAAAATGTAATCAAATTAACCGAATTTTCGATTATCCTATCCATACACGTATGCCACTAATTCGGATGGCCGTGCCACTGCTCAGGCGGTTAATCGCCGGCTTCCCACCGCGGCGGCCCAGGTTCGAGCCTAGGTCATGTTGGATTTGTGGTGAACAAAGCGGTGCTGGGGCAGGATTTCTCCGGGTACTTCGGTTTCTCCTACCAATCTTCATTCCACCGACTGCTCCACATTCATCATCATCTACCATCCGGGGCTGGTACAATAGGCCAAACAGTGGCCCACGTACCAAGTGGACTCAGTCTCACCCCACCCCAAGAAACTTAAAAAAAGAATAAATCGAACAGTCGGTATTCCATTGTATTGAACCGCTAGTCCCCGTAAAGTCTTCTGTAACCAAAGTGAAGTCCACGTCGTGTTACAGATACGGATATTCAACACGCTGGCTGGAATCCTCTTCCTGGTGGGCGGCGCTGTGGCTCTACAGAACTGGCGCGGCTTCGTGGCCGATATGAAAGGCAAACCTGAAGACTCCGATAAACGAAACGCCGCTGTGTTTCTGCTGACAACTGGCGTTCTCTGTCTTGTCAATTCACTGTTCTACCTGATAGATGTTGCTATCAGCGTCCACTCCACTCTGTCGTCACCATGACGGTTCAGAAGAGGGGCATTTGCTTCCAAAATGAGAAACGTAAACACCATTACAATTTCACTTAAAAGAAAGGAACTCGAAAAACAATCCGAAAACATAAAATTAACATTTTTTTTTGTTTCATTCTGGTCCGTCACACTAATAATATTACGAAAAAAATAAATATTTCCGTCCAGTGCGACCGGTTAAGATTTTTCTTCTTCTTCTTTTTTGCTCTAAATTAATCTCCACGTAGTGCCCCTTTCCGAAAAATTGCACGACTCAAACTTGGACATTGCTCTGAATGGAAATAAGCGGACCACACTGTAGTAAGGTCTACTGCAACACGGAGAACACGTATTTCCCGGACCGTTCCTTGCGATTTTCGAAACCTCACTGGCTGTCAGATTCATCTTTTATGGCAATGGTATACTGTGTAAGATACAAACCTAACCGAAGACAACTATCATACTGCACTGCGTCATATATCGTTATCTTTTCTGTATCTCTTTACATGTAAAATATGTTTCAAATGTAGTTCATCTGAATTACATTTATATTTTGTATCATGTACCAAGGCTACTGTAATCTTAATATTATGCATCTTGTTGTGTGTTATAAACAAGGTATACAAAAGTATGCAGTCTACACAATAATATTCTGCATTCACCCAACACGTGACAGTATCATTTGTTTTGATTGAGGCTACATGTTTCGACCCTTATACTGGGTCATCATCAGGCGTACAATGATACCAGACTCAGATGTTGAATTGCAACTAACAATTTGCATCTAATTCTTCTTTAAGGATCCTTATTGTGTACTTCAGTGTTTTAAATGCATAAACTGAGTATTTCAGTTAAAATTTTAAAATACTCAGATAATAAAATTTAAAAATTTGAGACTATTGATTAAAACAAAAATTAAAACTGTACTAAAATGGAAATGAAATATTTTGCGATAAATCTCTTTAAAACTTTGTGACCGCTACGTGTTGATATGCTTTTCCGACGGTAGAAGTGACTGTAGTTTTGGGAGCCTGCGTGTTGGGACCTTTTCGCATACGTCAGGGCGTGTGGTCTTGACGTTACTATCGTCTTGTAGAGCTTATGCTCGTTATTCTGTGTCACCCAACAGGTGACTCTCAATCCTTTCTGACAAAACTGATAAATTTCAATTGGAGCTTCGTGTAAATTAGGGGTTATAGCGGTCCAATGACAGCCAAAATTATACCAATGTTGAGGTAACATTTTTAATATTATAAGATTTTTAACCATCGTCCAGTGACGCTGATAAAAGCTGTTTTTAATTTTTCATCCTTCACATGTTTCGGTCAAAACGACCATCTTCAGAAGGATATTACCAACACACACATTAAAAAGTGTCGCGAGTCCCAAGAAACTCAGACCTGAGGAAGACTGCGCTGACAAGGCCCAGCAACGTATACAAAAGACAGACCCGTCCCCTCGTCAGAGAGGGCGCCCCACAAAAAACGACCGTAACTGTGAAACAGTAATAAATATCTCGTCATGAACCCCAGATGGGGCTCGACACCAAAACTTACTGACTGACTGTCAATTGCAATGTGACTCTGACTTTGATTACGGGAGTCTTGAGACGGCAGAGAGGAGTTTTTGCGATAAATGAGATGGACGCCAGCCTGGGCGTTAGTTGGAGCATGAGTTAGTTGTGAGACATTCGCCGGCCAGTAAGGTCGTGAACGTGGAAGCTGAGGAAGCTACGGCGTTGGAAGCCGTCACCAGGCGACAACCGGTGAAGTTACAGCAGACTGAGAAGACTTCGTATATGCTGTAGTCATCTGCAGTGTGTGTGAATTAGGGATAGTGCTATAGTTATTTTTAGTTACGTTCTGTAAGTAAAGTAAAAGTACAGGTATCCCTGTAACAGTCCATGGAGGCCCATAGGGTTGTGAGATGTTGAGGTTCCCATATTTTCTAGACAATCGGCTCATAGATGGCAGCAGGGTTGTCAGCCCTACGCGCCGGCCGCCCTTTACCCCCAAGAATATTCCTGGTACTCATTACTGTTATAGGCTGAGTCGACCCCAGGGCCATAGTGCAGCTGGAAGGATTAAGTCAATTAAAAAAAAACACGACCTCATCGGGATTTGAACCCGCGACCTTTCGGCTTGTTGCAATGTGCCTAAACCAACTACGCTACCGCGTGTCCCCTACGTTCTATAAGAGTTCAATAAATCCAATCACAAATCCAAACCCCGTCTATAGTCACACCATAAAAACGTGGCAATATTATGGCTACCTTCATTTTATAGTTCCACAACGGCTCCACAAAGGGAGCTGGGACTAGATACTGCTAGGTCATAGCGAACGTTAAGACACTATATCCCCTCAAACAAAACCCATGTAGTTATAGCGCATTTTAGAATTATCTGTATGCGATTAAATGCACTGAAATAAATCATTGAAGCATTAATATATTTATAGAATAAAAATGATGACTCTAAACTCACTTTCTGCGTCTCTGTTCTGTATGTAAGGGAAGTACCTCCCTCCTCTTTCGACTGACTGTATTATCGTAACGCGCTGCAGCAACTTCAGAAATTCAACGGAGTCACAAATTTCAGTCAAGACGGACGATTTTCGAGCCAAAATTCGAGTTGGGCACGCCTTGCCGCTGATTAATGTGTTCGGTAGGATTCATGCAGGCTGTATCAATGCCGTATATGACCAACAAGAGTGGGAATATCTACTATTTCAATAGTACACTTATTCTGCAAGTCTATTTCTGAATTTTTACCCCACAGGTCTTAGGCTTTATTTATTGCTGACTGCTGGAAGGTTATTCACAGATGAGAAACACTACGCAGTTTGATGTGTGGCGTTACACACTAAATGTATCGAAAAATGAATACATCTTAAATGACATCTAACTTACATTTTACGGCGTGTACCATTCTTTGCACGAGCCATTTTCTTTTTTGAGAAATTCTGTGAAGTTCAATTTGAGCTTCAAATAAAGAATATCAAAATGGGCACACAGCTTCATGTATACATCTCTTCAATACGAAATTACACATACATCAAAATCGGTTCAATAATTTCGGATATGAAACCTGATGATATGACCTCCCGCATATGCGTTCATTTCGTGTATCCTGCACACAGTGTGCATAAACGAATGTTGATAAAAACATTCGGTTATACTGCACTGCACTGCATTAAGATGCCCGGAAGCTCCACTTCCTGAATACAGAACAGAAGCAGAAGTTTTAACTTGTTCGAAGTTTCATGCTCCGGTCGATTTATCCCTGAGGAAAGAGCAACCGGTATTCATCGGATGGAAAGCTGAGTCTCTGAGCCGGTCTGGACGCAGTGTCCAAGAGAAGAATGTCCCCTCCGGGAATCGATCTTAGTTCGTCCAGCACGTGACCTGTCACTTTGCTGAATGCGGTATCCCGACATATACCCAAGAAAAAAAATTTCCATAATTTTCAGTCACGTATTTGATTACTGCACTGTTACTGATTACATCACCGGACCAAACAGGACGTCCGCTCCAGCAAAGGAAGTACAAGCAGGGGAACTATCCCTGATGATATCATAGCGACAGAATTGAAGTTTGTCATCTCCTCAAGGAAAACTGTGATCACAGTTCGCGTAGTCGGCCAGTATCAGCATCTGCGAGTGTTACGTCACCATGGCAACCGTGCCACAAACCCCACAAGAACAAGCATTGCGTCTGAAACCTAAATTATCATTACTTCGTTTGAAATCCTACAGGTAACTTAGAATGCTAACTTTACCGCTGTCAGAATATGTACATGGCTGGGTCCTACTGTTGTCTATGTAGCAGGTGACGAACAAGCGAGAATTTTGTTTCAGTGCACCGAATCTATTCTGTGTTATGGTAACATTTTGATGTGGTTATGTGAAGTGTAGTATACTACATAAAGAATATGCATGAATTCATAAACAGACACATTCATATCATACAGACAGACTACCAGTCTATCAGATATGTCTCTTTACTTACAAATAAAACTACTTTTAAGCATATATCATTCAACGTCCACTGACCAGCAAATATCAAACCGAATTTGATGAATTCATCGACACAGTGTATGCTATACACAGTTTTCACAGTGAGACTGTTTAAATAAAATTAGAATTAAAACTTCACGTTAGCTTACATAAGGAGGGTGGCATAGGCTCAGCGTGGGGGAAAAGCTGAAGGAAGGAGATCACTAGGGACGTTGGTCTTAGAAGAAACAATAAGAGGTTGGGTTGGATTTAAGTCGCTCAGGATTGGGTCCAGTGATGGATTGTTGTGAACACGGTAACGTCCCTGGATACCATCTATGATGGGGAATTCCTCTGTCTCAATTGACCTAATCCTTCCAGCCGCACTATGGCCCTGGGGTCGACTCAGCCTCTAACAGAAATGAGTAACAGGAATTAATTAAATAATTTTCCTGGGGAGTAAAGCGCGCCGGTGCGTAAGGCTGACAACCTTACCGCCATCTTTGAGCCGGTTGTCTAGATAATGTGGGACCCTCAACGTCTCACAGCCCTATGGGCCTTCACGGCCTGTTACAGGAATAGCTTTACTTTTTACTTTACTTTACATCTAATGCTTACCAGCTGCTCAAGAACTCTGCTCAGTGGATGGTTAAGAATGTAACAAGCAACCCTGCATGTTTCACTGTATGTGGTTAATTACAGCACCGACCCAGATGGCAATTCTCCATCATGTTCAACGCCCAGGAGCAATGTATCATGGGCAGACAATTGCCACGATGTCCTGCAAGCCGACACTCAACAGCATGATAAAATGGCTCACTACGGTCTCCCAGCTCCCTGCATCTTCAAGTTGATGCAAGTGGTAAACATCACTTTCTACTGCACATTATCTGGAGGGTAAAACTGATGACAGCCAGGATAGCTTTCTCGGTACAGCGACAGGACGGACAACGGGGGTTCGATTCCTAGGAGGGGCAAGAGGTTTTCTCTTCTCCATAGCGACCAGACAGGGTCTGGGACCCACTCAGCCTCCTAACCAACGGGTACCGGGGACTCTTTCCTCCGAGGTAAAGTGGTTGGGGCGTAAAGCTGACCATTCACCTCCATCAAGTGCTGAGGTCAAGAATGGTTGAGCTACACCTTCATTCCTCCATAAGTTTTCATTAAGTGGTCCTTAACTGATTAAGCACGGGGGTAACGTTACCTTACCTTTACCTTGCCGTAAAACTTCTGCTCAAAAACTTAATTATATGCTCTTTGCACTAAGTGCTTAAAGTAAAGCAATTTGAAGATACAGTATTTTAACACAATGTTTCCCAATTTAATTTTCCCATGGACTTTATGAACTCGAAAAAATTTTAAGGAATCCCCAATAAAGGCCGCGCCATAGCTCAAGCGGTTAGTCGCTGGCTTCCCATCGCGGCGGCCCGGGTTCGATCCCGGGTCTGGTCAAGTGGGATTTGTGGTGGACAAAGTGGCGCTGGGGCAGGTTTTCTCCGAGTACTTCGGTTTCCCTTGCCAATCTTCATTCCACCAATTGCTCCACAATCACCCTCACCTATCATCTGGGGCTGGTACAATAGGCCAGAAGTGGCCGCAGTACAAGGGACTTAGTCCCACCCCACTAGCAATAAAAAAATCCCCAATAAAACTCTTACATATGAAACTAAAATACAAGAACAGAAATTAGTAAGAATATTAATAAATGAATGTTAAACGGGCATATTAAATTAACATATTATTTAACCGCACATATTTAGAAGCAAAAATTAGCTTCATGTGTATGAAAATTATGCTTAAAAACGAATATACCACATATTTGCAGTTTCCTATTTTTTTCTGAAATTTTCTTGCGGGACCCTTAATTTCACTTCGCGTAACCCCGATGTTCCGATGAACTCAATTTAGGAAACACTGTCCTAACAGACCAAAACCAAGGGGTTAATTACGATACTTTGTACAAGGAATTCGGGGCACGCGGTAGCATAGTTGCTTGTGGCACTATGCTACAAGCCAGAAGGTCGCGTGTTCGAGTCCCGATGTCATTTGAATTTTTTCACTTGGCCTAATCCTTCCAGTCGCACTATGACCCTGGGTTCGACTCAGCCTCTAACAAAAATGAGTACCAGTAATCTTCCTGGGGGGTAAACGGCGACCGGCGCGTAAGGCTAACAACCTCACCGCCATCTATGAGCCGAATGTCTAGAAAATGTGGGAGCATCGACGTCTCACAACCCTATGGGCTTCCACGGCCTGTTACAGGGATAGCTTTACCTTTTTCTTTACAAGGAATTCATAACGGTTACAATTTGACACGTTACACCTTCTGTTTTCTGGGCAGGTCACCACCGCAGTATGCACGGGCCTATATTCGGAAGGCCTCAACAGTATACCAAACAACATCACAACACAGCTGTTCCCCTACATCATCTGCTCTATATATCTCATCATTACACCAGTTATACTCTTCAGCTACGTCATCGGACACAGGATGCCCGAACTTATTGTAAGTTTTCCGTAGCGATGTTAATTCGCCATATCCCATTAGTGTCCAAACCTAATCCGAATGGAAATAATTTAATTTTCTCTCAGGTCCGGATATTCAACACCCTCGGTGGAATCCTGTTCCTGGTGGCTGGAGTAGTCGCCTTAGAAGGCTACAGCTTCTATCTAGTAACATATAAACTTCAGCTGGATAATTACTCAAGCATGGACGACATCGAAGCAGGAGACGAGGAAGACAGCACTGAAACACTTGACAGACAAGGTGTCTTCTTGCTGGTATCTGGCATTCTCTGTCTTCTAAACTCACTGCTTTACTTCATTGATGTTGGCTGGAGTGTTTATATCACTCTGTCATCTCTGTGAAGACTAGAAAATGCCGATCATTCACATTATCAATCAATAAATTGTTACAAATTTGTATCTATGCTACAAAGCTTCATGAATCTTTAACCTTGCCACTTGACAGAAGTGTTTATTGTTATCAAGCGAGTTGTGAAACAACAGTGCTTCATGTCGATTGGCCTGTATCCTTCTACGTCATGGCTTCCGCCCGTTCGACAGTAGTGAAGGCAGGTAAGGAAAAGTTGTCCCTGTGCTCAACGAATTCAAGCCCTACTCCATGAAGGTGTATGGGGGAGTGGTGTATAGATCCACATCTTCTTGACCTCGGTACCAGTTGGAGGTGAGTGGTCACCTTCACGGCCCGGTGCCCATTGGGTAGGAGGTTGGGTGGACCTCAGAGCCGGTCTGGATGATTTGGGGAAAATTCTTGACCCTACCAGGACCCGAACTCCGACCCCTCAGTCGTCCAGCCCGTAGCCAGTCGCTATACCGACTGCGCTAACCCGGCTCCAGTGAAGGTAGGTTCCTATGTTATTTTTCGATGGCGGAATCCATAGGATGAATTGTCCATTTTGTCCCCGACGACAGCGTCATGGTGCAGATGAGTACCGGGAGTTGAAGTGGTATGGGTCTTAAGAATTAAAATGTTTCTATATGCCTAGTTCACCTTTCATACCTAAATTCTTTCTCGAAATGCCTCATAAAACGCGACAGATGAGCAATATCTTCGCCTGAATGTTGTATTCATTCATAACTGACGAACAATTTACCAATCACTTGTATTAGAAGAGGTTTACAGTACCATTGTGCTATTTCATACGGGAAAAACGACGGCAAGAGACCACTGGGGTGTCTGAATTTAGACAGGTAGGTTATAAGGTACAGGTAAACTTGGCCCTGTATTAAGTAACACGCCATAAAGACGTTGTGTGGAGTGGACCTAGGCACTAGATGGAGTGGACAGGTAGATCATACCTGAAATTATTAGTGATCAAGTCAAGGAGAGTGAGACAAGAAGTAAGTGTAGCACGCTCGAGGCAGAAGAATATTCATATATAATGTTGGCCGGTAAATGTTGAAGGGAAAGGCCATTTTGGAATTCTAGGAGCGTATATGATCTTAAGAGAAATATGGCGAGAGTGTAGAGTGGATTCAAGACGCTCAAGAGACGATCTAATGGCCGGTCTTGTGAACACAGTAATAAACCTTCGAGTACCGGAAAGCGAGGAATAGTTTGACCAGATAAGAGATCATTAGATTCTATAGGATTCTGCTCTATGCAGTCACCTGAAACCTGGTGCGTCACGGTAATGAATATGGCTTCTCACTTTGGATAAGCTCAATCTCAGAGTCCACAAGGCGATCACGCAAACTCCAACAAATTATTTTTGTGTGTACTAAAAATTAGGAAGAAGACTTTTGATCGAACTGTTTATTTGCTTTTCGTATGTTTACGAATCGAAATTTGTGACCTTCCACGTATGTCTTTAGATCAGTCTCTACTTCTTGTGTTCTACAGTGTGTCACTGTCGACAACTAGCTCATTGTGGGGAACAGAAAAGGAAGAAAGAATAATAATCTTTTATATGTCGTTAAAAAATGACGTTAGTTAATGGCCAGGTAGTGAAGCAGTAAAGCGACATGCGAACTATTCGAGATAAAGTTGATGTACAATGATCTGACGAACCTACAAGAAATAATTCGATATTAAGTATATTTAATTGTGCATAGCGCGAACTTTAACTCTGCAAGGACAAAGTTTGAGACTGTGTTTACGTCTCTTGCGTCATTTTACTTCTAAACTGTGTGAACTGGGTACAGTGCCAAGATGCCAAGAAGTATCTTATCTAACTTGAGACTTTTAATTAAGATTGTAGAACTGGTGGGTATCAACTACAATGAAAATCTGTATTATTCGAAAGTTTGTAGATTCGCATTTATTTTTATGCACCTTGTGCAAAGACCGGACCAGAATTAAGAACTAACACTTGTACATGAAAACGGGAAATTTAGGGCGACCGCACACCAACTGCGTCAAGACAAGCATCAAGACATGAGACAAAATACGCAGTCTTGCTTCATTCGTGATTCGTCAGCATCATGACTCAGACCGGTGTGTGGTGCTTTTATAAACTCATTCGTTTCAACTGTGCTCCTTTCTTTGCGTCATGTCGCAGACATTGTGTCTTCACTGTTACATGTCTTGACGCATACCGGTGTGCGCCCTACCTTAAAGTTTGTTTATAACAGCTCTGATGAAATCTTATTAAATTTCAAATTTTAAGTTAACCCCCATGGAACAATCATTTTTTATAATCTTATGGTCGTTCAGCTGGTCAAGAAATTACTCACCTTTCTTGGAAGCAGTAGTTTATTATCGTGTTCACAAAAGCTGGACCTTCCCTCCAGACAAATTAAATTCACGTCCTGTAATTTTACAGTAAATATAACGTGCCCTCTGCGCTTAATTAAGCACCGCGGAATGAAGACATATGGGAGGTCGTGGTAGTGAAACTAAGTTCTGCCCTGCCTGGGATTAAACCCTGATTTCTCAGCCATCCAACCCGTCGCAAAGTCACTATACTGACAACCTCCTCTACACCCTTGATATCCATTTTAATATTATCGTCCCATTTACATCTCGGTCTCCTAAATGGCGTCTTCCCTTAGAACATTCCAACTGAAATTGTATTCACATTTATCTCCTTCAAGTGTGCTACATTTCCCGCGCATTCTAGCCTCCATCGCCGTATCCTGATGACGTCGAAATATTCCACAGAATGTCAGGTGTTTCATTTCTGCTCTTGAGAGCAGCGATTAGTAACAACCTCTTGCTTCACTACCAAATCTTCACTAAATTTTTGACGTCATTCTGCTATCTACGAGATTTTACATCACATCGCATGAAATACTGAAATTCATTAATAAATACCAAACTTATTACTTGCATGTCTTTGAAAAAAAAATCTTAGTGTCTCTAATTACTATTGTAAATTGGCATAATCCCAAAACACATAATGGTCATTTCAACAATACTGTGACGTGTCGCCTGAAAGCCGGAGTAGCAGAGTAAGAAAAGACGGCCATTGCTAGGTAACGGTTGGCTAAACGCGTTCCAACTCCAACGCAGAACACAGAACATGCATCTCTGTGACAATTCACTAAGCAGAATTGGTTATCACGGGAATTACAACGGTTTCCGATATAACGAAGTTACGAAAACACAGTAACAGAACGGTAAAGCAGGGTGATCTCTATTCGGTTCTCCGGAAGCTATGAAGGGAGGTCAGAACAGGCCAGAACTCACACACAGGCAGGCCCCCGTGTGGAGGCGGGGACGAATACCTCCACCGTGATCCTGTGAGTCGTAGGAAGCAACGAAAATGGAAGTCTCGAATCTGAGACAGTAAAATATGGTCACAAGTCTCACGGGACTCCGACCCGAGATTGACTGCTCTGGCTAGGGCCAGCAGCGATTGTAAACGACAGACCCATCCTCTCGTCAGAGAGGCCCACATCAACAAATCCACAACTGTTTGAAAGTAATAAAAATCTGGTCGTAAGTCCCAGATGGATGCTTTATTCCAAGGCAGGCTGGCCTACTGACTGTAGGTCGTAACATAAGACTCAATTCGACATAAGCAGTACACAGAGAGCAGTACAGAGCAGTGCAGAGCAGACCAAGCAGCAGGGAGGGCAGCTTGCAGTTGAAGAGAACTCAGTAGGCACACGCTGAAGAATTTATTTTATGTGGTGTAGTTACAGCAACCTTTAGAGTGCTATTGTTCATAGTTAGAACATGTTATAGTTACAGTAAGATTGAGAGTGTTATAATTAATTGTAGTTCCGACTTGTAAATATCCAATAAATCAACTCACTAATCCACACCCGCACCTAAAGTCACTACTACACATGTCAATATTTTAAAGAACTGATTTCATTCCAATTTACCAGACACTGAATAAGATATAACATATAAGTATCAGTGCCACTACAGGAAGATAGGTGAGGGCACAACCATATCACTCCAATGTATCACACAAACATGAACCCACCTACAGATTGAAGTTTACAGACTTCAGAAACGTTAATAAACATCTATCAGATTATAAGACAGCACATCCCTGAAGATAGTTACCATCATGAGAACTTAAGACTCCCACATCACCAATTAAGGCTAATATTCCCATGAGCATACAATTTCCACACTGACAGCAAGCATTTCTTTTGCAGGTATTAGCCTGTACAGTAATGGGTCTCTACATAAATGCCCCGATAACAACCACAAGCAGCAAACTAATTCTGTTTCTCAACCCCGCAGTTATTGGTGGCTACATCATTATCATTGCAGGGCTTATCATGGGTCTTATTATCAATGAGCAGGTTCCTAGAAAAATGGTGAGTGTTTACATTTCAGGAAATAAAATGTAACAGAAGTTTACTATGATACCTTAAGGGTAAGGGAAGGGTGAATTTGTTCCTGTGTTTAATTAAATAATTAACACCAAACCATGAAGATGTGTAGGGGAGTGGAGGTATAGGTCCACCATTCTTGACCTTGGCACTAGATGGAGGTGAAAGCAATACCCATAAGACTTATATAATGTAGAAGTAATGGAGAATTTGTTGTTTGCCTCATCAACTTCATGACTAGAATTTGTATCATTCCAGTTACAATAAACTGTACAAGCAAAAGTGACCTGATCCTTCCCCTTCATTAAGCTCTGTCATGAAAATGTGTGGCAGAATGGCACCATATTAGTATGAGTTCCTAGTCTCAACATTAGGTGAAGATGTATGATCAGCTCACCACTACCAACAGGATAGGAGGCTGAGTGGACATCACTGGTCTGAATGTGCTGACAAAGAGGAAAATTCCTGTCCCTCTTCAGAACCAACACCCCGGATATCTAACCCGTAGCAGTTTCGCAACTGACCGACATGTCAGAATAACTATAACTGCAGAAATTTTTAATGAACTATATATTACATAATTTTAGGTGTTGTGCGGCAATTCCAAGCTCAGAATTCAGTACCTGACATTAGCATATACATACTTTTCAGTGTTGTTAATGGCTAATGCTATCTTACAGCACTCTGTATTGTTGATATGACAAATGTAACAGATTATTTCATATCCAGTAACATACTGTCTCACATTTTCTTCAATATGGTTATTGTTTTGTTCAATGCAATAAACAGGAATAATACATCTATGTAACTTATATGCAGACAAATATACACCAAAAAACATGTAAGGTGGGCACAAAGTAAACCAGCACAGTCTTCTTAATCTTGGTTTATGGCAAGTTTTCTCAACTGCAGAGGATACATGTCATTAAATACGAGGATTGTTAATGACGAACTGGAATGGATGTGCAAGGAAGTTGTCTGAGGTATCTTCAAGAAACTAATACCAGCATTTTCCTGACAAAATGACGAAATGCACAAAAATATTAAATGACAAACGATATGTTTCAGAACTTTTACTCAAGACATGTGACAGTAAATGTTTAAAGAAACGTTAATGAGGCAACAAACAGAACTCCTAATGTTTATAAATAAGACATAATAATTATGTGTACATTTCTGTCTACAGGACATGTTATACATGACAGGAGGGTTCATTCTGTTCATTGCTGCTGGGAGCATGCAGATTTATTTCCATGGAACAAGGTCCTTGTCTCATACGAAAGATAAAGATATACAAAAGTCAGTGGAATTCATAACTGCTGCTTTTACCATTATCACTGCTTTTGTATTCCTGCTTGACACTGTCTTTACTTATATTGATGATTATAGATATGGTAAGTGACTAAGGGCCAGTCATGGTAGCCAAGCGGTCTAAGGCATGCACTGTCTTTGCTCGCTCAGAAGCCGGGATCGTGGGTTCGAATCCCACTCAGGGCATGGATGTTTGCATGCGTTTTTCTGTGTTTGTCTACAGGTAGAGGCCTTGCGACGAGCTGATCACTCGCCCAAGGAGTCATACCGAATGTTTAAGATCTAGTAAACCGAAGTGAAACGGAGAGTTTCATGGAGGTAGGCCTAGGCCCAAATTTGGACTGTAGCGTCACAGAAAAAAAAA